TATGGCTTGGCCGGGGAGATATACAGCCCACAGCTTGGCCGGGGTTATACAGCCCTACAGCTCCTTCACTGAAGGACTTCAGTCAGACATCACGGAAACCTGAATTCTTTCCCCCCTGGAAATCTACAAAGCTCTGCTTGGTAAGGGTCACTCACGGAAGCCAGAAGCAGTTGTTACCGGGTGTAGGGGTTCCACGCCAACAGAGGCAAAGACATACTGCCAAGATTAGAAGTTAAGGATTTCCCCATTAGTTACATTTATGAAGATAGTGCCTGTTCCCAGTGGACAAGATTGAGAGAGAGCCAATAGACTATTAAGAAAGCCTTAAGGTACCTCTTTGTTTTCAATAATAAAGAGTTTTGTTGAACCTTTAAGCAATCTAAAGACTCTGTTTTAAGGAAATCCAACAGCCTTTAATCTGAGGCAGCCCCGGCGTCCCGTTGGGTACACAGAATTTATGTCCTGTCTACAGTCTTATGCACAGGCCCAGCGTGCAACAGCACACCAATTATTATTATTGACACAAAAGCACAGTATGTCACAGCAAACGAAATCTATATGCTGGATTTCGTATCACAAAACCACAAGTCTATTATTATTATTATTATTATTATTGACACAAAAGTACAGTATGTCACAGCAAATGAGATCTATATGCTGGATTTCATATCACAAAATCACAAGTTGAACTATTACAAGTCAAATTATTATTATTATTATTATTATTATTATTATTATTATTATTATTCCATTTCTCTCCCACGGGTGGAATTCAAAACGGCATACAAATGATGATTTCAGAGCTTATGTGGGCTCGTAGGAGGAGATGCGGTCCCTCAAGTAGACTGGTTCTAAACTCCACCAGCAGTGCTGGTTGAGTGCTGGTGTCTCACCAGACTAAGGTTCCCAGAATTTTACAGCATTGAACTATGGTAGTTAAAATAATGTCAAATTACATTAATTATACAGTGTAGATGCAACTGCTGTGTGCCTTCAAGTTGTTTCCAAGTAATGATGACCCTGAGCTAAAGCATATCAAGAGTTTTTTGGGAGCAGTTTGAGCATGCATGACTTATCCAAAGTTACCCAGTGAGTTTCTATGGCAAAGCAGGAGATGTCCAATGCTCAAAAGATACAACATTTTAAAAACACATTTCAGTTCAATAGCTGTAAAAATGATTCAATTGTAGCCCCATCCATAGGCTTATTTTTCTCTTTGGCCAGATATTTTAGGGGGAGGGGCAGAAGAAATGTATTAAATTAACACATTTAGTAAGAACATTTCAAGATGCTCATCATAACAAAGTGGAAATGTAATCAAAGAGCTGAGTTTTCAGAAAAGGTATCCAGTGCTTATTTTCTGATACTAGCTCAGCAACAACTGTCCGTAATGAACTTCTATTTTTTCCCACTGACGTCATTGCAATGTTCTAAGAAATCTAGCCAAAGTCCTTTCCTACAGAGATAAATGGTTAGAAAGGAAATAAACGAGTAAAGCTTTTGCACTTTGTGAATATCATATTCAACAATTATAGGTTCTTTGGCAGATTTTCAGGTTCATATTTGGCCTAGCGAGACTTACACTTCTCTTGCTCTCTTGCTTTTTGCCTTAATTAATTTTGAGAGAATTGATAGAAGTTCCATCATTGGAGCACATCAGGAATCACCTGATAGCATTCCTAATCAAATTAGCTCAGTATTTAACCCTATGGAACACAACACCTCAAGGTGTGAGGAGGAGGAGGAGGAGGGAGTATGCTTTTATGTCCATTTACAGAGTGCATCTGTATTATAGAATGAATACAGTTTGATCCCACTTTAACTACCAAGGTTCAATGTTATGGGATCTTGCAAGTTGTAGTTTTACAAGGTCTCTTGTCTTCTCTGCTGAAAAGTGTTGGTCCCTTAGAATCATAGAATCAAAGAGTTGGAAGAGACCTCCTGGGCCATCCAGTCCAACTCCCTGCCAAGAAGCAGGAATATTGCATTCAAATCACTCCTGACAGATGGCCATCCAGCCTCTGTTTAAAAGCTTCCAAAGAAGGAGCCTCCACCATGCTCCGGGGCAGAGAGTTCCACTGCTGAACAGCTTTCACAGTTAGGAAGTTCTTCCTCATGTTCAGGTGGAATCTCCTTTCCTGTAGTTTGAAGCCATTGTTCTATTGCATCCTAGTCTCCAGGGCAGCAAAAAGGAAGCTTGCTCCCTCCTCCTTCTGGCTTCCTCTCACATATTTATACATGGCTATCATATCTCCTCTCATCCTTCTCTTCTTCAGGCTAAACATGTCCAGCTCCTTAAGCCGCTCCTCATAGGGCTTCTCCAGACCTTTTATCATTTTAGTCGCCCTCCTCTGGACACATTCCAGCTTGTCAATATCTCTCTTGAATTGTGGTGCCCAGAATTTGACACAATATTTCAGGTGTGGTCTAACCAAAGCAGAATAGAGGGGTAGCATTACTTAGTGTCTAGATCTAGGGAAACCAAACTACAACTACCAGGATACCATAACACTGAGTCATAGTAGTTGTAGTGTGGTCAAACTTCATTAATCCTACAAATGTAGACGGAACCACAAAGAAGAGGTAGATAGTATAATCCTATACTGTAAAGATCCTCACTAGTGAGGGCTTTCTGACCCTTAAGAAACATCTCTGAAATCCTACATCACCTGGATAATTACAAATGCATAACAAAATAACATCTTCTACCCCCCTCCCCCCTGCATGACAGCTTAATGCAGTGGTTCTCAGACTTCCTAATGCCACAACCCCTTAATGCAGTTCCTCATGTTGTGGTGACCCCCAACCACACAATTATTTTCATTGCTACTTCATAACTGTAATTTTGCTACTGTTAAGAATAATGTAAAATTAAATATCTAATATGCAGGATGTATTTTCATTCACTGGACCAAATTTGGCACAAATACCTGATAATGCCCAAATTTGAATACTGGTGGGATTGTTTTCGTCCTTTGGGAGTTGTAGTTGCTGGGATTTATAATTAACCTAGAATCAAAGAGCACTATGAACTCCACCAATGATAGAATTGAACCAAACTTGGCACACAGAACTCCCATGACCAATAGAAAATACTGGAAGGGTTTGGTGGGCATTGACCTTGAGTTTTGGAGTTGTAGTTAATCTACATCAAGAGAGCTCTGTGGACAAACAATGATGGATCTGGATCAAACTTGGCACAAATACTCAATGTGACCAAATGTGAGTACTGGTGGAATTTGGGGAAATCGATCTTGACATTTGGGAATTGTAATTGCTGGGATTTATAGTTCACCTACAATTAAAGAGCAGTCTGAACCCCACCAATGATAGAATTGGGCCAAACTTCCCACGCAGAACTCATATGACCAACAGAAAGTACAGTGTTTTCTGATGGTCTTTGATTACCCCCCTGATGGCCCCCTTGTGACCCCCATGTCGAGAAATGCTGGCTTAATGGTATATGGTACTATACAAAACTTACATGCATTAAATAAAAAACAACAGAGAATGCACTCCTGTGTCCTCCCTTTTATTTATCGTGTCATCTGCAACCACAACATTGTATTACATTTCTAACAGAACAAAACAAACAAACAGATAAAAAAACAAAACACAAATTTTGCAAACTTGGTAGTTGATTAAATGTCCTTTGACCAGTATCTGGCCACTTGGAGTGTTTCTGGTGTTGCTGCAAGAAGGTCCTCCATTGTGCATGTGGCAGGGCTCAGGCTGCATTGCAGCAGGTGGTCAGTGGTTTGCTCTTCTCCACACTCACATGTCGTGGATTCCACTTTGTGGCCCCATTTCTTAAGATTGGCTCTGCATCTCATGGTGCCAGAGCACAATCTGTTCAGCGCCTTCCAAGTCACCCAGTCTTCTGTGGGCCCAGGGGGGAGTCTCTCATCTGGTATCACCCACAGATTGAGGTGCTGGGTTTGAGCCTGCCACTTTTGGACTCTCACTTGCTGGGGTGTTCCAGCGAGTGTCTCTGTAGATCTAAGAAAACTGTTTCTTGATTTAAGTTGTTGACGTGCTGGCTGATACCCAAACAAGGGATGAGCTGAAGATGTTTCAATATTGGCTGCAACTTCTCGGCGGATGTCAGGTGGTGCAATACCGGCTAAACAGTGTAATTTCTCCAGTGGTACGGGGCGTAGACACCCTGTGATAATGCGGCATGTCTCATTAAGAGCCACATCCACTGTTTTAGTGTGGTGAGATGTGTTCCACACTGGGCATGTGTACTCAGCAGAAGAGTAGCATAGCGCAAGGGCAGATGTCTTCACTGTATCTCGTTGTGATCCCCAGGTTGTGCCAGTCAGCTTTCGTATGATATTGTTTCTAGCACCCATGTTTGTGACCTCCCTGACAGGAACTATATCTTAAGAGTATGCTTGGATAGACATGTCTTTGTTCTCTGGTTAAAGAAAAGCAGGGAGAAGGCCAACTTTGCCTCCCATGAAAAGGATTTCCAGTAATTGAAAGCAACCCCTAAGAAGGCTTTTTCTTCTGTCTGTAAACTCTGCATGTTCATCCTCGCCTCACTAATTTCAGACGTTGGCTTTCTCTTGGCTGCCTGTCTTATCTGTGTTTGAAACTCTGAAGGACATTGAAGAATGAGCTTTCTTTTTAGTGTCCTTTTCTCAAGAACGTCAGGTCTAACACCTCTAGGCACTTTCCCCAAGGTTCTTTCTGTTCTCAGAGTCTGCTAACTCTTTTTCCTTCCCTTGTATCTCTCCAAACAATAGGATCTTTGTTAAGAGCTCCATCCCTAATGAGCGACTGCTGCATGTAAGCAAGATATGGTGAATTGTCTGATGAAAGGAAGACTTGTGCATTAAGGTTACTTTTAGATGGCACTTCAGCTTTCCTTGGGTCCTGTCTGTGAAGGAACCAGGAGTTCTAGCAGCTGTTGCACCGTGTAGTGATGCTGAATCCCATCACCATGGCAACAGCATCAGCTCCATCCGCTATTCTCCTCCCCCTCCCCACTCTTCCTCCTCCTCTTTAACGTCCCCAGTACCAGGAACAGCAGCAGCCTTGGTCGGAGACAGAGCCTGGTAGCATTGGCTGCAATGTAACAAGCCGGCTTTGTCGACCAACTCAGCTGCCAGGACCGAGATGAGGTGCAGCAGCCGCTACACTGTCATTTTCTGGAAGATGGACAGATAGAAAAGAACGAAGAGAGACTAAGAGAGAGAGAGGAAGGGAGAGAGTTGAAGACGGTGCACTGCAGATGAACCAAAGAAGACCCAGGTAAAACCTCCATCCTCCTACTCTTTGCCAACTCTCCATCCTTGATTGTGTTACTCATATTTTTGTGTCTCTCTAATCTACTGAATAATCATTTGAAAGAGACGGAGATGATTTTTTTTCCCTCTTGGCAATGTCTATTTTTGCTCCAAAGCATCCCTTGTTCCCTTTTCCTTCATGACTGTCATCTAATAATAATCAAATACATTCAAAGAGAAAATGTATGTTGGTGATGAGGGAGGGAATACATAAATAAAGAAATGTTCTTGCAGAGTGTTTCAAAATAGAAAAGGGGGCATTTGCTTGGGAAAAGAGGAATGACATAGAAAGAGATAATCCCTTTTTTTAAAAAAAAAAAATAATCTACTTCATGCCAAATCCATCAGTTAACACTGATCTATCATATCTGATTAAATATCTGAAGGAAAATATTTTCCTGGCCTTTGTAAAATAGCATGATTTTACAAAGGGAAAGAAAAAGGAGAAGAGGAAAGGAGAGTAAAGGTAAAGTGATGACATTGCTCCAGAAAGCTGGCATTGCATAGGGAAAAGGGAAAAAATAAGCAAAAAGTCTATCTTATAATTCTGGATAGTAAGTTCATGGGATAGTAGGTCATCTGTAACCTTGAGTATACACAAACACATATAGATGCCGTATACTAGATTGTACATTGTCTAGCTAACATAGTGCTATCTACTCAAGGTCTTGTCTCTCTTACCTGAGATATTTCAAAATATTGAACTTGTGATCTTTTCTTTGCAGTGCATGTGCGCACCGTACATTTGGTATCATTTGATGTGTGCTAGGCAGTCGTTCAATCTAGTATTTGGATTGTAAATTGATCAGTTTTTGGGCAAACCTTCTGACTGCCTTCTTCCAAACCTACTATTCTGAGGTTGTGATTCTATGCAGATGTATCATGAAGTAAGTCCCAACAGAGTTAGTGGGAGCTAGCAAGTCTCAACTGAACAAGACATTTGTACTGAAAAGCTACACATCTACAGTGAAGTTTTTATCTACCCCAAAATGGAAATAAAAGCCTTTTAATCAAACTTTAAATGATCACAATATTCAGGATACTCCCTAGATGCTGATATGAAGTTGTGACTGATCTGTAAATGCACAATGTGCTTTATGTCCTACCATGAAATGGTTTATGTCACTGCTGTTATGATTCACCAACCACAGATGTAGGACTTCGTCTCCTTTCATTCCTGACATTAATTAAGAGTAGTCGCATGACAACAACGACATTCATTCAGAATGATAAATTCCATGTAGCATTTCAGATCACTGATGCCTTGCTATTTTTTAAAGCATTTTATGAATTCATGCAGTCAGGAAGCTAAAGCTGAAAGTAAACATGAGTGTACATTACAACTGGGGATGGTTACTTTCAGTAAGAACTTGCAAAAATTGTAAATTTCTTGGTATATCCAACAGAAAGAGAGGCTTTAGAAAAAATTAAATGTGAGTGATAGCAGTATGGACAGAATCGATCATCCAGGCAGAAGGTTTGGATTGCTTGGATCTTAGGTGTCTGTTTTAAATCCCAGTGTATTCAATCATGTTTGTATGATTGAATTATGATTGTCACCTCTTTTTTCCTGAGAGGCACACCATTATCTTTTCCATATTGGGAACACCTGTACCTATTGAATTTTCCCACTTCAATTAGCAGAGAATTTTGTTTGACTTGTTTATTATAAATTCAATGAAAACAACTTGAGATTTAAAAAAAAATCAGAAGGCGGCAGAATGGAAGGGATGGATATTTAATCTTAGCCATTGTAGACTGTAACCAAAGCTTTTTATGATCTATGGCAATCATAGGTTTTATGCATTTTAATGGTCAACACAGTCACTCCAGCATGTTTTTTTTTAAATCAAAGGGTTCCAGTTTTCTGAGCTGAGAATGCAGACCATAATGCAGATACTTTGCTTTGCCATTAGGATTCCCTAAGAGCAAAACCCGAGACAAGACTAGTTTGAGGAATCAGCAAGCATGTAAGGAAGGATTACAAAACATATTGGCTGAATGATGTCTTGCAAATCTCTAGAATTCTGCCAAAAGGAAAATATGAAGTGAACTGTGATGGGCTTGCTCATGGCAAGACTCTCCTAAATCTGGAAAGAACTGGATTAGAGTGGAGTGTATCCATTTATCCTTGGCAATGAAATTATGAAGAGTACAATAATATACATGTCTTTTCAGAAGTGGTGTAGTGGTTTGAGGGTTGGACTCCAGAAGCCAAGGTTTGAATCCCATCTTGGCCATAGAAACCTAGTGGATGACCGTAGACAAGTCATACACTATGACAGATTCGCCTTAGAGTTGCTATAAATTGAATATGATTTGAATGCACATAACAACAAAGGGTGATCATAACTACACAGCTGTTGCAGATGGATTCAATTCTGTTGTGTTCCTATTATCTAGAATTCTAGGATTTTTAGTTTGAGGAAGTTCTTAGAGTTCGTCACTGGTTCTGGTATCGTCTTCTGAACTTCAAATATTGGAGCTCTCTAGCAGAGAATTCCAAGTATCCCATGAAACTCCAAGAGAGAGTGCAATATTCCTACTAAATCCACTGGGTTTTTATTGAATTCAATTTTTCTTGATTCCAGAGATAACGATGCTAGGTGAGATGGTCACCTCTTGAAGTAGAGTGCAGAGAAGTGACAAATATGGCCCTGAACTCACTTTGGGATGTTTCCTGCTTACTAAACCCAATTTGCAGGTTTATTTTAGAGTCCCTGACTCAAGAGTGTAATAGAAAATGAAGAAGCATGCATTGTGGAGAAGTACCACTTCTGCTTTGTCTTTGCTGGATGGGTTTGCTGACTCCATCTCATTCCCTTTCATGTCAGGTCCACTGAAACTGCTCCAGTAAGGAAATAATGAGTGCAGTGCTGCTAAAGGTGCCTGGGCTGAAGAAAAGAAATAGGAAGGGTAAAGAATGGGGCTTACTCACAAGGACTCTTAGGCACTGGAGGAGCAGGTGGATGAGGAGGAGGAGGAAGAGGAAGAGGAAAAGGAAAATGAAGAGGAAGAGGAGAAATTGTGTGGGAGGGGGAATTTCAAGCTCCTCCTTCCCTTCTTTGCATATACATTGTCATCTTATCTTTCCTTTTTTACCCTACTACTGGAGGTAAAATGATTTGCTATCTCACTATCTCCCATGGGGGAGATTCCATTCTATTTCCTGCTACTTCATGGTGGGAGTAAATCACCCCCCACAGCCTTCTGCTTCTATGTGAGGTGGGCAAGTGACAGGTGTAGTGGACAGCCAGTATACAATGTCTGTGAAACTTGAACTTTCATGGGAGGTCACAATTCATTGCAAAACTTTTGTGCAAGTAATTTCTAGGCTCTGTTTGTGGTGTACCAGATGATCTCAGCCAGTGGTCTGACTCTAGGGAACTGCTTCCTATGTTTTCAATTGGCAATGCAAACTGAAACACTCTATGTATGTGTTGTATGTGTGGAAGGACATTGCATCCCATTCAAAAATGTAAGTTGTCATTGCAGATGTATTGTCGAAGGCTTTCATGGCCAGAATCACTGAGTTGTTATAGGTTTTTCGGGCTATGTTCTAGAAGTATTTTCTCCTAACGTTTCAAGCTCCTCCTTCCCTTCTTTGCATATACATTGTCATCTTATCTTTCCTTCTTATAACAGTAAATAAAGAACAAAACTCAAACACAGGGAAACTCCAGACAAGAAACAATTAGGAACAGCTGATCCTCTCAACAAAGGATTTCCCCAGGCAGTAACAAGTCAACCTAAAAACTGTCAGGCCAGCAAATGTTAATCAAAGTGGCCAGCTAAAACATTCACACCTAACTCCAGCAGACAAGAGTTCTTTCTCCCACCCTGGACATTCCAAAGATATATAAACCCAATTTTCCTAGTTTCCAACAGACCTCACAATCTCTGAGGATGCCCCCCATAGATGCAGGTGAAACATCAGGAGAGAATGCTTCTAGAATATGGCCATATAGTTTGAAAAACCTACAAGAACCCTGTCATTGAAGAATTTTATATGGATCACTCTTGGACTGTTTAAGTACAATTTATCTACTTCCTTAAGCAGCACTTGATATCTTTTCAGCAATGCAGATAACGCACACCAACAAAATATTGTTCCTGTTTTAATGATATCCTTAGTGTACATTTCTCCACAAGCTATTTTTTCTTTGCTTGCGTGTGTAGGTTGTGGTGGTCAAGAAGTTAATTAGGACTCCATCCTGTGCCTTCCAAGACCAATGACTGGAAGAATAACATCTCTTATCTTTCTCTCCGTTGGAGGTAGAAGAAGACTTCTATGTTTCATAGAAACAGTAATGCTAATAGACAAAACCAGTGCAACCCAGTATGCAACTCAGAAATTCTCATTGTGGTATTCATTCTATACCCCACAGATAGTAGGTCCAGATAGTAAAAAGACCACCTATCTCAAACCGTGACGCTGCACTTAATTATCATAGCTCATTGACATTAATGTACTCAGTGTATTTACCACAACCCAATTTAAAATACCATTTCTGTTAGCATCCATTAGAAGATATCTGTGTAGAGTTTTACAGTCTATTAATTGTGTGTTATATGACACATAAACCTTCAGTCTATCTCCTCCGGTGCATGATCTTTTATTTTTAGAACATGAATAATCTCTATTCATTCTTTTTGTGTATCTAAACTAGGAATGGTCAAAGATGTCAGCTTCCTCTTCTCCCAAAATCAATGTGATTAAAGGAAAATAAAATTGAATCCTGTCATACAGCTTATGTAATATTTTTGACAAGACTTTTGTCAACCCCCCCCCCCACCTTAAAAATGAACTGATAAAAATCTCAAATTTTTGTGGTATGGGGAGAACCATATTGAACCTTCAATGTAGACAGGGTGATTTAAAGAATGCTATTTAAAGATAACTAATGTGTGCTCAGATACACTTTATACCTTCATGCATTCATGAATTATATTCTCCTTGCTCTG